GGTGCCCAGCTGGCGAGGCCGAGAGCATGTCGCTTCGGCAACACCGGTGCAGTGTAGAGCTCTTGGAAGTCCCGGCATGTATGTATACTACCAACACACCGACCCTTGTCAGAGGCACCGGCGTACTACAGAACGGTATGATTGATATTGACTGTGTCACGCAGTTTCGCAGGCACTTCGCGGGGCACGGACACTACTCAACCAGTAATGCCCCCCGGCAAATATCGAGCGATGTGATCAAGCTCGGACCAACACCACCTGCCGTTTGTCTATAAATATGTTTGCCATTTCTCCTGCTGCTGTCGCTGCTCTTGTTTGCCTCGGCGTCCAGAGTACTATACCCACCAGCTGAACGTGGCAGTTACACCGGACGGAAAGATCATGTGAGACTCTTGGGGCCCCCGTTGGCATCACACCCGACGACTCCTCGGTGCTGCAGAAATACATCCTTGGGGTGGGGGTTGTAGCGACAGATTTTCCCGGAACGTTCGGCACTCCATCGCAAAATGCCGAACCTCATATTGTAGCCTGGTGCTTGAAAACACGGCCGACCCCGCTGGGCCGACCAGGGCCCCTTGATACGATCCTCCCATGCTATTCCACTCAGTTCATGACGCTGACTGCAAGTTTAATTTACGCCGAGCTAAGGCTCTCGTCAACAACAGCACCACCAATTTGTGTTATCGGTCAAGCCCTACGTCGGTGGTGCATGTGTTCCGTGTTCCTTCGTACAGTTTTGTCTCTCGTCAGGGAACCCCAGGTCACCCGACGTCCCCCCTATCGCGGGTGAGCCCCGAAGCATGTTCAGGGCTCTTCTTGAGCAGCTGTCAACGCAAAACACAATCGGGCAGCGAATGAACAGGCACGAACGGATGTGACGTTCTGTTCCAAACCCACTGATCGAATAACATTCTCTCTCTCTCTGGGGAAACTCGGCAGCACGGGGAAATACTTGACTTACGAGGACGGCCGGGGGGGGATCCTCGCCAACAACTTCTTCGAAGAACAACTCCACTACTCCACGGCCAATCCGAGTGTGAGTGGCTCGAGCACGCAAGGGGAATAAGCGATATATTATGTTTGTAGTGCCTGCCTTCAGACTCTTGTCATGTTCTTGGTGGAGTTTTGCCACCCCGGGTAGACAAGGGTTCCGGATGGCCGAGAGCGACGAAAATATTCCGCTCTTACGCATAGTTAAGTACCGCGTGATACGATATTTTTTTCCAACTCCCACCACTAAACTCACTTCGGTATCCGATCCCTGGTGATCTTGTGCAATAGGCATGTGTCATTGTTTGGGGGGGACATTCGTCGATGCAAAGAATATACGTGGCGTTTGTAGCTAGTCTCCGTCGCGATGTACCTGGTGCTATCTATCCCACGCCAAAATGAGTTGTTTCTGTTGGAACTATCCGTTCCTTCGACGCTCCGCGCTCGAGCCTCAGATTGGACCAGTTGAATCTCCTCCTATTGGACCCCGTGAATCTACTCCAATTGGAGGTGAATCTACTCGAATGTATCTCGACATATAGCAGCACGACACGTTGGAAAAACACGCTACGATCGTCGTTAATGTGAAGACAACCCTCTTTTCTGCGTTTTTTTTGCTGGATCATTGCTTTTCCTACGCGTGGCAGTATCGCAAGATGAAGAGGGGGCGGTTCAGGCTATGTTCGGGCGAAGACTGCTGTACCGTGACGTAGTACGCGACTACGGCTGTCACCGTGGAGGGGTGTTTGAGGGGCCGTACAGGTGCTACCTGTTCCGACGGGATATGAACAGGCGGCGGCGGAGGCTACTGTGGCGCGAGTGCTGGTGGTGGAAAGTTCTTGCTCGGGACATTCCAAGCAGTTTCGATCGCCGACGTTTGAGAAGAAGATTGTAGATATCTTCCTGCTACTGCTACGGGTGAGGAAAGGGGGCGAAAGAGTACGGTGTAACTTGGACTTGTATGCGGCCACCGCTTCTCTTGGGGACATCGAAACAATGGGGGTTGCCGTTGTTGGCTGTTGGTTGTTTGCGCGTAAGCGCTCTGGAGGTACAAGCTTGTGTTTGGAGCCGAAACTGACTTGACTAAAACAGACGCAGTGCTTCTCCGTCAAGAAAAAGGCGTCCTTTCTGATTCGATAGACTACGGGTCTGCTGTCGTGTCATGCCTTACGTGGGATGGATTATTGGGTTTCCCGGGAACAGTATCCGTTCGATGTCAAGCGGTCCTTGACGGTATCATTGATGGGTCGCACACGAACCCGAGCTTTACAGTACCATCCTGCAGGGAAAAGGTAGATGGTGGAGGTACTGTCGGAGTATGGTATAATGACCACGCCAGACTGTTTGTGTGCGGCAAATATTGGTAGCTTTTGCCACTGTAGTGGACGGCGGTAGGCTTGCTTGCGATCCAGTTGTTGAAGAAGCAAGTTGATTCCACACGATGCTGGAAGACCATGGATACAGAACTGAAATTGCACACAGTGAGCTAACCCAAAGTAGGCGGACACCTGGCTTTGAACGGAAAATATGCCGGTGAATGGCTATTCCCTGGCGGGGAATGTGAGGGAAATTGCGTCCTTCATGTTGGGTGAGAACGCAGACGATATAATATGTATTAACGTAATGGTGTACAATAGTGTCAAAATATGACGGGTTTGGTTGAGATATGACGTTTCCCATTCATTGGTCCCATGTTTGTTGAAGATGAGTCCGGGGACTCAAATAGGGGCTTATTCAGGAAGAAGCTGAGAGGTTCATTGCCACCCGCGTTTCAGGGTTGCACAGCGAGAGCATTTTGCCGGGGATCCGCTGTTGCAGTTTTGGCGTTGTTTTTCGAGTCCAATCTACATAGTGTAGGAGAATTTTCAATGGCAATATCATGTCCGATCAAGAACAGATTTAGGGGATTTATGCATCATCGTTCGTAGTTTTCTAAGTCCAATCGATTACTGTGGACTTATGTGTACATTGAAAGAGGCCAATTTTATTATCTTCACCGCCACCACACAACAAGAAGAGACACGCCACAACGCCTTTCCAGCAGGCTACGATCAATTTGCCCATAGAACGAGGCAAGCGAGCTTCTACGCTTCTACCCTCATCGTTAGTCTGCACCACAACAACGATGCGCGTTTCTACCTTCCCGAAAACCGATGTGCCACGGTCCACATGGCGTGCCATCCCAACACGTTTCCGTTCGAGATGGGGTTTTCTTCTGGGGGAGCCTGTGTACTGTCGTCTCTTCAGCCTTGATGCCTGGCAATGCACCAATATTATGCCGGTGCACGAGCGAGAGAACCAGGACAAGCGGGCACGTTCATATCACCGTACACCCCAAGACACCAGTACATATTACCAGGAAGAGAAAATCTCTGTAATAGGTTTGCACGCTACGCCGAGGCAAGCTGCGTTGTCGATCTTCTTGTAGCAGGACCAAGGCACATGCCAACAAGGTCGGTACAGTTTGGTTCGGGAACTTTGCGGTCAGCGAGAAAGTCGGTTGTTGTCGTTGTCACCCGGGGAGGCGTGCAACCGCACAACCCATTTGTTTCGCTGTTTTTGCCAAAACGTCGTGGAGTTTATTGTGGTGCCCCTCTCCCAGATCAACCCGTAGCCAAATAATCTATTCATCGCCGAACAAGAAATAATATAAGGAAGGAGAGAACAAATCAATATTTTCATCTTCTCCATGTCGAAGGTTGGGCTGTTATTTGTTGTCTGTCATAATCATCGTTGTCAGCTGGCGAGAGCGGAATAGACCGGGGCATCTTTTTTTCCAGATGTGGGCAGTCATTTGATTTTCGGTTGACCGTTCGGCGACGGACTAAAAGCACGAGGTAGCCGGCTTGATTGCGGCTACATCAAACTCTGTTTGTAGTTCTAGCACGTCAGTAGCTGCTTCGGCCAACCCCGCTACTCCTCCTCCGCATTGGGTTGGGTAAAAGGCAGAGAGCGGCCCGGCGTCTTTTCAGTCGGGGACGAGAGGGGACAGCGGACTGCGCTATGCTGCTGCTAGCCCCGCTAGCAACGGAAGATACTCCTAGTTTTATCGGTCGCATCACACACAAAGGCAGCGTGTGAGCGCTGATACTGCACATCGTTTCTTTCCTTTTGCCCGTCGGCCATCCCGCCCGCACCAACCCTCCCAGGGTATGTCCGCCGGCCGCAGCCCGCATGCGATCCGCCGAGTATGAGTATTTGCCTCTCCTGTGCATATCCTCCAGCACTATGCGACAAAAAAGCGCTTGCTGCAGACCCGCCCAGTGTGGGCACTGAGCCTTGTCGATGGCAACAAGACGAGTGAGTGTGGTAGTGTGGGAAAGACGGGACGGATCCGAGAGGCTTCTACAACAAGAAGGAGTATGTAATTGCCTGGGTTGTTCGTCTTGCCCGCCTACCCTCTCGCCCCTCAGGGCGTTGCCTCCGACAAATCAATGTAGCACTGCCGACACGCTACATGTACCTGTTTCTACGCGGTGTGTCAGCCAGCGCATGCTCAGATGCAGGAGTAGACATTGGCGCTGTGTTGTCAACAGATATGGGAGAAGACATGCAACAAGAAGGGCAGATCAGGGGCAGATGATGCAGCGCTTCCAAAACCGGACACCAGACACGTGGCAGACACCAGACGCCGCAGCATGCTTTCGGGGTGTTGTTACGCCAATTGACGGTTTCCGCACCACAGACCTGCACCCTGCGCCTACATCGCTGCACTGCTGCATCCGTGCACCAGATTCAGACACCAGATCTCACACATCATACATCACACAGCAGTATCGAGGAGGTTCCGCCGCGAACCTGTGGTTCGTTTCCCGAACCGAAAGTTCCATGCGGAGGTTGCCTTACTTCTCGGCTTCCGGGCACGTCACGTTGTCGGTGCTCCGACTCCCTTGCAGATGTTACTCTCGTTGGCAGCAATTCTGTGCTGTGAGCGGTGGCGGTGGAACAAAGAAGCTGCTCCTCCCACCCCCTCCCAGTTCTCTACGTCTTCTTGGCCGTAACGCGAACCGATGGCGATCGAAATGCCTGATGATGATGACCGTGGTGCAGCTCTCCTGATCTCAAGCGCAGCGCACTGGCTTGAGTTCCTCCCAGCTGAGGGCGTCGCTATGTGCTGTGGAGTTTGTGCAGGTTTAAAGCAGGTATGTCGACGTTGCTGTCTCTGTTCTTTGCACGCTTTGAAATCATTCAGAGATGCATGGACAGGGCTAGACAATGTGTAGATAGGGGCCATCATCATTACCACCCCGGCTCGTCACTTACGTTTTCTTTGTCGAGTGTTTTCAACGGTTGAAACATGTGCCTCTCCACTACGGCTGTGCACTTCGGTCCGTGCACTTAGTACCGCGTGCCTGGACCCAGTCGGGCAAAGAGGGGGTATACATCATCTGGCTGATACGCTGAAGCTATGACAATGAGATTGCTACAACTTTGACAGGAGGGCATGTGCCAGGAGTACGATAAGCATACGGGTTCGGGGGGCTACCTCGTTCATAGCGCCAGTGTTCCGGTCCTGTGGAACCCTTCCTACTTATGTTGGTTTTACCACTTCGTGCTATGCGTTAGTGTACCACTCTACTCCCCACAGGGCTGATTCTTGGGCACATGTCCTCTCAGCCCCGGTAACCCCTAACCATGCAGCCCTCTGTCGTGTGGAAATTAAGTTCCAATACTTGGCGCGCTTCCCAGGAACTGAGATTTTCTCTCACGCCACGCCCATACAGTATACAGTGAAGGGCAACTTGGTCTTGGATGCGCAAAAACTGACTTGATTGCTGTAGACGAGGAAAAGGATCGTGAACGTTCTCGCCGTATGTGACGATTCGACTAGGACAAGCGCCGCCGAAGGAAGATGGCAAAAATATGACTCGTGTGTGGCCTTCACCCTGGTGACCCCACCTGGTGGGTTTAAACCATGCCAAACGTGTAACAACTGACGACACCACCCATCGGAATGCCGACACAGGCCGCGGAGGAGGACAGGTTATGGAAGGACCTGTGTCACCGGAGATGGCGTCGGGTCAACGTCGACGTTGCCCGCCCCAACAACAGGAAGTGTGACGGCGGCGGCAGCGTCATCGGGGGGCATCAGGCTGCGTACGCGTCGCTCAACGGGTGGCGCGACCCAACGAACAGACTCAGGCGCACAATCCTATCCACTGCTCCGAACGATGCTGTGGTAAGTATGTCTTCGGGGAAAGGAGTAGGGACGCGGGCCGCACACGGGTGATTTTCCAAGGAGAGAAGGGAGAAGGAGACTCCGTTGGGAGCGGATGGCATCGTTTTTTAAGTGGAAGCCCTCGAGATGCTGGCCAATAAGGACACCACGGACTGGCACTTGTCGAGGGCGATGCGCCCACTCTTGTGCCGGCAAGCGACCATGCACACAATCCAGCAAGAATCTGCTCCGGCTGGTAGTCACACCACAGACTCCACCTGTCGAGGGTGCGGCGCTTTGCACTCTTGCGCCGCCAAGCGACCATGCACAAATCCAGTAAGAATCTCCGGTTGGCAGTCAACGCTGGGCTTTTGGGGTGGTTGAATCAAGCCGTTGTTGGCCGTGGCCAGTAAGGAAGCAGAAATGCGGTTTCCCTTCCCTCTGCCGTTCCTCCTGTCAGAGATCTTTTTTTCAGAGTCCAACACTCTGTTTCGTTGCGATTTTTCTCCGCCAATACCCGTTTCGGAGCGTTTCCCAAGTGAAGCAATCCATTGCCTCAGACTGAGTCAGTGGGTATTCCCGACCGTTCGACCCCTGCCGGCCTCCACCGTGCCCCCCCCCCCCCCCCCCCCGTCCTCTTCCCTTTATGCCCCAAAGACCGGACGACGATTTACCCGAGGGGCTCAAGGGGTGGCCCCCGGAGGTGGACCTGTGAGTTTCGAGTTTTTCATGAAATCAAGAGCAGGCACACCACGCATGGGAGGTTTCCCGGCAAAAAACAATGAAGAGAGTTGAAGGAGTTGTCATTCCTGGTGCGCTGTCGTTTGACACCGCCACCACCATCACAATGTAGACGATTAACACGTTGAAGAACGGTCACGATGCGGCAGGCGACGAACATCTCCGGCATGGACGTCGGCCCTTGTCGAGTCGTCGTTTGCTCCGCCGACTTCGCCTGGTACTACAACGTGCGGCAAGGCTCGAACACGTCGAGACAACGACGGCAGCAGCCCCGAGACGCAACCAGCGATAGTGCCAGTATTGACAGCGGTGGAGGCGGTGGCCAAAACGGCGGAGGGGGTGCCGCCGAATCAATCGTCGAGTCTTCGTCGGGCGCTGGGGGGTCATCTCGCACGCTACGGGGTTTCCAGCTGCCGTCGTCTGGCGTTACGGAGGCGAGGTACTCGGGGGACGGAGAGCGATGCTTCTTCGGCACTGTCTCAGGCCACATCTTCGTCGTGAGTGGGATCGGGCCGGGTCTCCTGGTAGCTTGCTAACTTTTCTCAATTTATGTGGGCTATTCTCCTGTTCATGCTGTTCTAAACGAATATGTGCATGTACATAATGTACCATCTGTCAGAGTATTGCACTGTCTGTTATTTTTCTGTTTTTTTTTGTGCCGGTTATCGGCGTTTCGCGTTTACTGACACTCCTTTCGTTTGTTTTATCCTTCCTTTTATTTTTTTCACTCCTTTTCTCTCGGACGTGTGCTTTTTCTTTGCCACCTTCTTGCTCTCCTTGTTTCTCGATGTCTTGACGACGCTGTTTGCTTACCCCTACCTGGTATTCGCCAGCACAAATGTGGTGGTGACGACGACGATAAGGATGGCGAGAGACACCGATCTTCCGAGGCTGTCGAGCCTTGGACACCGACCCTGGCGCTCTCGAGTCCCACAGGAAGCCCTGTTGCTGTAAGACAGGTATGGTCCTTTTCGTGACTTGGCTCTGGCTCGAATCGAATAGCATAGGTTCATTATTTCTCCGGACACAGTACTTGCGTACTTAGCTGAAGCGAAGAGTGCAACAGGGGAGACTGAAGACATAGCCCTGAAGTTGCTGCGACGAAACGAAGTACTATTGATACATTTTTTCCGTCTACATGTACGTCGGTAATAGCAACAGCATATTTGCAGCAGCTACGATGTAGCTGCACCCTCCTTGATGTGGGTCGCTTTGTATTGCAATCGTCGCTTCGCTTCCAAACAGTTTTGTGAAGATCTCTTCCAAGCACGCCCCAATCCATGTGCTGCGTCCACGCTTGTCGGACGGCTGTTTCATTCGCAAATCGACCCTTCAGAATACTCGCCATATGCCCGCTGCATGCTGCGTTCCCATGCCAGGTGGTAGCGAGATTCGAGGGCGGGTGCCCGGGGGGATCGCGGCTAGGAGTGTTGTGCCGACCCACTTTGGTATGGCAGCCGAATCTAGAGGGATCGGGCGAGGGGGGCTACCTGTTCCTCGTCGACACCCAAGCGCAGGCGGTCACGCGGCAGATGAACCTGGGGGGTGGCAGTCTCGGGGCAAGTATGTAGGCACAACGGAGTTTGGATGCATATTTCTGTGAGCGTGTTTGCTCCACTAACAGCATCGACCGTGCTACCCGACTGACCAACGAGGAAGGGAAGGGAAGGGAAGGGAAGGGAAGGGAAATGCCGGGAAACTGTCCTCTGTGTGTACATATGTAAGCGATTTCCGGAGAAGCTCGAGGGATCTCACGCACTCTTGACCGGCTTTTCGCAGCTCGATTGTTCCAGCACCAAGAGGCTGCCAGTGCCGAAGATGGCTGAGTTGAGAAGATCTCATACACTACTCGGTCGGGTTTCCGGAGCATCCCTCTTGGTGGTGTTGAGGAGCAGTCGAGCTTTGAAAGTCAATCCAGCAGATGTCCCGTCAATCCCACTTAGACGGTAATTGTTTCGCACGGCCGGGCCGGCGCTGACGGGATGATCACAGAAAATGATCTACTAGTCCCGTTGGGGGTGAACCGAACACGCTATGTAGTCGATGTGTAATCGTGTTCTGAGCGCATCGAGACGAAAGCTAGGCGCGCCATCTCCCCCACCCGCTCACCCTAACTCCCTCCTCACGCGACCCCAACAGGGATTGACATTCCCGACCATGGAGCGCGGGGGGGCGGCGGTAAGCATGGCCCCACTCTCCTCCGAAGGGATGCCTTTCGGCTCCAGTGGCAGCGGCGAACTCTTCGCCGTCGGGTTCGCCGGGGGCACCGTCGCTGTTTTTGACGCCCGGTGCCACGAGGGGGGCGGGATGGTGGGTGGGTTCACTACGAGGCATCGGTGGCTGAAGCGGCTGCGAAGTGCCGGGCCATTGCTCATGAACTCGTACGGGAGGTGAGGAAGAACGACAGGGAAAACTCGCGCGTGGGGGGGGGCGGGGGCGAGTAGAACTGACGCTTCGGTCTTGCTTTCGCCAAGGTATTGGTCAAGATCTCGAGTCTCGAGTGCATGCTACTGGCAGACGCATCACCCTAATTCCTCCCTCTATAGCTGGGGTTGCTCTCTGCATGCGTGCCAGTGGTTGTGCTCACTCTCACTCACGGCTGTAGTGCGTAGGTCGACGTATGATTGCAGAGGTTGGCGGATATTCTTATCTCAGCCGGTGGCACTAGCTGAGGGCTTGGCCATCGTAGTACCGACGAGGCGTACAGCGAGTGCTGTGGTGTCGCCCAGCAAATAGGAACGTTTTTGTTGGGTGCTTGCTGCGACTGGGGCACGGTCGTCATATGCACTAGCGGCTGGCGTGTTTGCGCTGTCCTTGCCAATTGGCAACCCTCAATCCGCTTGCACCTCTCCCCGCACGTCCCTCATCCGCTGTTTTTGTCGCCTTAAACAGCCTTTGCTATTGCTGTGTCCAACCCGTTCCCTTCAAACAGCCATTAAATCTCCATCAAAACCCTGGTCGCGAACGTCTTTGTGCAGAACCAAGAACATCGAAACCTGGGACATGCGCAGGCTGCCGTCCCGGGCTACGCACGAGCCCCCCCCCGGCTTGCCGTCACCCCGCCTGCGCGCCCCGCCGTGCCTCGCCGACCTCGCGTGCCCGGCAAACTCGCCGGACTTTTGGGTGGAGCCGCACGGCCTCTGCGTGGCAGTGCACGGGGCTCCCAGACACAGCCAGCGTTTCGGCGCGAAGCATGCCTTCTGGCCTTGGCCTAGACAGACCGGCGGCGTGGCAACGGTCTCTACAGATCCCAACGCGCCCGCGTGCTCGGCAAGGGGTGATGGCGGAGGAGTTGAGATTCCTGGAAGGTGTGTCGTGGTTCCCGGCGTGGTGAACGACTCGGGCTACCGGATGTGTCTGTCGACCGGGGTCAAGTTTACCGACACGCACATGGCCACGGTGCTCGACTCTTCTCGGGTGTTGGTCGATGAGATGGCGGTGATGCCGAGAGTCTCTCGCGGGTCCGGTGATCGCGAGGGGGCAGGCGTGACATCACTGTTTCTCGCTGCTTGAGTTGAAGTCTGGAGCGACAGCAATGCGGAGAAGATGTAATTGTGTTCAAGTGTTTCGCTGCGTTCATGTATGGCCAACCCAGACGTCACTTTCGTTTGGAGGTTCTTTCAATGTGCTGTATCTTTTTGCCGATGGTATCATACACACCGACATGAAAATATTTGGGATTCATGTTGCTCGTTCTTTCTCCCGACTATCCAGCAGGATACTGTATTTTTGTTTGGGTGTCCTGCGCGGTCGTATAATACTACCGTCCTCTATCCATGGACAATCGCACACATACCACATTTTTTCGTTTCAAACGATATCTCTTCCCTCGGTGACAGCATGACCAACAACACCAAGGCGCCGCATGCTACCACCACGAACGTAACAACACATGAGATCAATCACAACACACGAAATCGCACCCGTTATTCCTCGATACACGATTCTCAATACCAGATGCGCGAAAGACAAGTACCACGATGCCCACAACACCGCGTTCAACATGCGCCTGAACAGAGATGCACCTCGACAAATCGCGCTTACGGCGTAAACCGAGGTTTTGACAAGAACACCCCGTACGGAAGACTCACCTTAACTATTGCCCACGGTCTTTCTATGAAAACGACACAAATAAAACGAGTACAGTAGTCTACTTGCAACGACACCACCCTCTCCAAAGGCGCTAAGTAGTCCTAAAGAAAATGCCGATAAGCAGACCGATTGGTTCGAAACCCTGTCCCTGCTACATCCGTCGTCCGTATTTCGGTGGTTCCCCTCCCCCCTTCAAACGCAGGGTTTAGGTCATCCTTAGTGTTATGCGAGGTGCCTTGTTGGAAAAAGGTAAAGTTATCAACTCCATTATCGCCGACCGAATGTAAGGAGAAACATTTGGCACACGGAATGCCTCCCCCCAACCCCCCCCCCAAGAGCTCGATTCCGCTGCCTGCTTTCGTCCTGGTGCTTGTGGGCCGCATTTCCTACTCTGAAGGGGGCCAGAGCAGCCCTGCACCAGCGGCAAAGATTGTCTTTACAGACAACGCGTCACGGCTTACGTACATGCTAGCGAGAGGCTGGGTCTTAGCGGGAAGGGTTGGCCTTCAACAACCACGGCGAATCCCCACCCGCTACTTTCGCTACCCCTCCCCGCTCGTTCGACGCTGGTTGCAGCAGGGAGACATCCCATTGCCGGGTACGAGGAAGCTCGATACATTCCGATCTCGCACTCGCGAAAAACGCACAAGTTCGCGCACATTTCACACCAAATACATATTCAACCGCAAATCAAACCCGTTTCATTATACGACAACAGCATGTACGGCGGCTACGATTCATCGCGTGGGAAAGCACTACTGAGGTTACCCCCCCCCCCCTCTTACCTATCTGTGACAGACTTGAGAGTTCAAGCGGCTTAGCATTCAAGCATCCCGCGTTTTGGGATTTAGGCAACCAAGACGCCCGAAATCGTGGGTACATACGACTATATGAGAACAAATTAAACGGAAAAAACGCCGCACGTCTCAAATTTCAACCCTCACCAACCAATGGCACGACCCAGCTAGAACCACCTAGGCTCCGGGAACTCACTCACTGCTTCTGAGGGCGCCATCTTATCCCCCGACGCCGCCCCCTCCTCCATGTCGACCATGGGAGGTTTTCCTCTGCCCGGACGAGGCTTGCCTCTTCGCACCGGCAACGGGCCCTCCTTCAGCTGCTGGTTCTTGATCGAGAGGTTCCTGGCCATCAAGCCCGCCACCGCCGAAGAAACGGACACCCCGACGTCCCCGCCGCCCTCCGACTGCGGGGAGGGCCATCGCCCAGAACTTCCCGGAGAAGGGTCCCGATTTGAATCTGCGACTTGTCCGACAGGCGTAGACGTGTCCCTGCACGTCGAGGCAGCCCGCGTCGAGTTGTGCCAAGGCCTCTCGACGGTTTCGATGGGCCCGTCATCTTCAGGCTCGTGGCAAGACTCCGAGACGATCGCGAATTGCGCCGCGTTCTTGCCGACGCTCTGGTAAAAGGATGATTGCCGCTCGGGCACCATCCCCGCCACCGGTGTCTGGCTCTGCCGAGAGGGTGGACTCTGCCCGCCCCCACGGGACGCGGCGGCGTCTACGGCGTGGCCTAACGCCTCATCTTGGGAAACCGAAGCACTGGTCGGCGTCGGACCAGAAGGCTGGGGAAGGGAGGTCGACGCAGCTCCGGTAACGGAAATCTGGTGACCAGACGCCGCGGTGGTCGGTGGTCGCGGCATGCGGGGAGTCAGGCTTCCTCCCCTGTCGAACGAGACCTCACCCTTTTTTTCGAAGCTAGCGCCGCCTCGTGAAACCGTCGGCGAGACGCCGAGCGCGCTCGTGCTGTCCTTTTCACTCGAAAGAACGGGCGTGGTGTCCCACCCCAATGTAGTGCTTATGAACTTAGCGCCACCGTCACTGCCGCCGCCGCCGCCGCCACCGCCTGCTACAGCTCCATCGCCCATCTTCTCCACGGCTGCTCCGGGATCAGGCTCACTACCGTCACCGGGCGGTCGTCGAGGCTTGCTGTTCGTGGCACCGCCACCGTCAAGCGTGAGGTCCGCACCATTCTTACTTCCTAGGTAGAAGGCCGCGCGGCACTGCGCGGCGATTTCGGCAACAAACTGGTGTTGGCGTCCGGGTAGGATTGATTGGGTCCAGCGAGGGCACGCGCAGGGTGATGTAGTTGAGCGTCAGTATAGGCAGAACGCCGGGAAGCTTAGTAGAAGACCATGGGAAAAGAAGCGAGTAACCAACAGCCACCGACCGTGATACGGCCGGAAAGGATTGTCACCGCCGTGTAGCGATGCTCTGCTGGTGTAGGTGTATTATTTTGCAGTCAGCATCGAAGCTGAGCGATCGACTCTAGGCTCCTCTCGGGCTGCCTTACTTCGTGTGTCGCTGCGACAAAGGCTGCTTGACTCGTCGAGGGCCGTGCAACTGGGTCATGGAAATCCTATTCGACCCTTGTTCTGGGTGAAGCTTATTTTTGCACCAAATAAGCTACTGCCCGGTCAGAGAAGCGGCAGAGGAGGTAGAATGGTTCATGATGTGACGGCAACAAAACCAGCCCAAACAAAGACAACAACAACAACAAAGCCAAAATCATTATCACCACCACCACCAACAACAACAACAACAACAAGTTCGGAGCAAGCAAGCTCTCATAGTTCAACGTCGGCACACACACCCGGTCTAGCTGTAGATCAGATTCGTCGCGCCCGAAGGGGTCTTCCAGATGGTCCGCAGCGATCTGCAGTCCCAGCATCAAGTAGGCCGTCACCAGCACTGCATGGTACGAGAGAGGAGGTGGCGTGGAGCCTTTGGCACTTGATTGGTCGGGCAGAATGATAAAGGTTGTGACGAACATCATGCAAAACACGTGGCGGTGACTTGGATCACGCGGAGCCCGTGTGTCGACCCCCCCACCGCTATCGCTGTGCCCGACTACCACTCACTCTCAAGGACGACGAAATAGCCAAGAGTGTCGTACGAAATCACCGGGAGCACCAGCAGGTAGAGCAAGGTGAACATGTGGAGCATCACCCTGAAACAGTCCGGCTGGGGCGTGTTGCGGACCCGCTCCATGTCGGCGAACTGCACCGACAGCTGCGACACGGGTACATCGATCCCACGGGCAACCGCCTGCGTCCCGAATGCCTGCGGGCTGTCAGCCAGCCCCTTCTTAATGCACTGCCTCATTACTTCCGTGCAGTAGTAAGGCATCACCAGAGGCGGCAGGTTGTTGATCAGCTCGACCTGCGCTTGCCGGGGGGGGACACGGGGGGGTAGAGGAAGGATCGTGAGGAAAGCAGAGCTCTGTCCGGTTCTTCTCCTTCCTCTCGCGCTCCTCACCCACAACGCGTAAGCCGTGCATTTTCTACAAGATCATCACGAGCGTCATCCCTGCCCGAGCTCGAAACGCCTGCGAGAGAACCTGGACACGCCGGAGCGCCTTGGATCTGACGGCAGAAGCTATCTTCCAGCCGCGCGCTGCCCCACGAAACTCGACTAGCCACGCGTTGGAGGGGTACACACGACGCGAATGCGCCCACCGACAACGAGATGACACGCATCCTGTCTGTATGAGAAGACACACCAACCCCCCCACTGCCAGTATTCATGTATGGCGAGTGCCGATTTTGGGCGAAAGCACCAATCCATGCCTCCACCCCTGAACCACCTACATAAGGGCTCACGCCAGTAGAAAGCTTACCCCAGCATTATGACGATAATAAAGCAACAGCAATAACAACAACAACAACAACAACAACATCAACACAAACAACAACAACAACAGCAACAACAACACAAATTCCAGCATCTTCGTGGCCATATTAGTGTACGCATCTTACCTCAGCTGCATCAATGACCCCTTCCATTTCGTCGGCAAAGAGTTGCTCCCGCCTCAGTATTTGCTTCACAACGTAGGCAAACGTTACCGAGATGTTCATGATGCGCCGGGCAAGCTGCGTGTCGTCAATCCATACCGCCGCCTGTTGTGTCAACTCCACGCACGACCTTTCGCCCCAACCGCACACCCATCGCAGGCGATTTCAAGCAAGACGAAATATCATGAAATCAGAAATGCCTCGGGGTGACGGTATAGGTTGGCTTCTTGTTCCAAACCTCTCAGTCAACACGCTGAAACTGTCGAAACAGTCGTACATCAGTTACCACATGCCTACAATACATCTGTCTGCCGTCGCCCGCGGCACACGTCCCACCACACCCTTGAACAGGGAACACCCTCCCCCAGCCAGCGAACTTTACGAACGCGACCTCTCACCAGTGCATCTTGCCCCACAATATTCTTCCCTCCCACCAGCGGTTGTACGATTGATTTGTTCTGAACACGATCAGGAAGGACAGGATTGTTTGCAGACTTCGTCCGGTGTTCGAACTAAGGTGGAGCCCTGCGTCTAGCACCCTCTCGTCATTCAGGGTCGCCACCAGCGCTGACGACAGCAGCAGCATCGTCATCTAGGTAGATTTTGGAGCGTTCGCGTGTGCGTGCAGGCGGGTCGGAGGGCCTCTTTCAGCACGCGACAACGGATACAAGCAGTTGAGAATAATTCGTTTCCCAATAAGAACGAAAAATCCGCTCTATCCGTGCCGATGCTGATGAGTGCTGATTGCACATGCATGTTATGGCGGGTCCCCTGTGTGCGTTTCTGCGTATTTCGGATTGGTCCTGGTCGACGTTTATATTACTTTTCACCACTTATAACGCCTTGTCGCGGTGCACTTTCGCGGCAGGACGAAAGGGGCCAGTAAGTACGATGACCGCACATTGTCAAGCAAATCTAATGCGACACCACAGGTCTCCGTCTACGGCGTAATCAATGGCAACGGATAGATTCCACTGCTATAATATACCTGAGCGAACGGGTGTGGCGTAGACCGCCAGAAGACGGCGAAGAAATCGTGAAGCTGCCGTGCGTGGCTAGCGCTCTCCACCCGGAAGGAACCCTGGCCGCCGGACATCGTGGATATGATCTGCTGCCGCTTACTTGTCGGGCGGCGGCTCCGGCTCCGTTCCGGCTGTCGCCACATCATGAACAATGCCGACTCCTGTTAGTCATTATGTCGAGTTTGCCGGGAGGAAGTAGTGAACGAGTTTGAGGCTGACACACGATCAATCCGACTACGAACAGACATTGGTATGAGTTCGTATCGATGTCTTGCCCTTCCTTTCGCCAACAACATTATCGAGGTGCACGCAATGTATACAATGGAACATGCTTACGATCTACCCAGAGAGACGTGCAAACAAAGGCATCATTACGAAGTACTTCCCCGGCAGCAAGGGCGGGTGGAATACTTTTTCGTTCTCATACAATATGGACAATCTTGTTGCTACAGCGGTGACGTTTCTCGTGTTTAACTGTTTCGTAAAGACCTTCTAGCCCAGCACCCTGGCATGGCGTGGTGGGGTGGTCCGTCGATAATTCCCGGCTTCGTTGGAGGCGAATAAAGGCTCTTCGGCCTCGTACATATTTGCTGCGGCTGTGTAGTCTAGGAGTACACATGCCCTCCCCCATCTTTTTACTACGAAATGTCGTGGCAATTCCCTGCTGGATCAGTCGAACGTTGCAACAACCAGAACAAGCTCCTCCTTCAATTCAGTCCGTGGATACTGGGCTCAGCTTCTGAGCGTGGGAGATTGCGCCGGGATGCACTCGTGGGTATTTCTCCCCGAATCTTCATTTTTCTACTCTTGGTTTGGACTGACAGCAGTCTTGCCATTGTTGTTTTATTTTCGTGACAATCGGAATCATTTTTCGAAGTGATGAGGCTCGGAGGGTATGGGAGGAGAGGTTCTGGAAATATGTGGGCCAAGGGGAGGACGTTTTGTTGAAGGCGACACAACAATACTTAGCGGACAACGGCATCAAGTACTGTCAGAGCGTGCGATGGTACCGGGTCAAACACAAGCAGACTCGAAAGACTAATCTGCAGTGCTGGTATGTATGTAGAAGTATGCGAGATCTGGGGAGAACTATTGTATGTATGTACGTACAGGATGCCAAGGCTATCGTGGAAAAGCGATCCATTCATTCAACCGGGTCAAGCTCAAGCAGACTCGAAAGACTAATCTGCAATGCTGGTATGTATGTAGAAGTATGCGAGATCTGGGGAGAACTATTGTATTTTTTATGTACGTACGTACAGGATGCCAACGCTATCGTGGAAAAGCGATCCACTCTTTCAATAATAGAAGAACCTCTCGCGTTCGCAGCCCAGAGGGATCCTTGCGTGTGTCCCCGCATCAGAGCTCTTCGGTTAGAGACACAAGGCCGTAAAGGGTGGGTGCTGTAGGTGGACGGCCGCGCAGTGCAAGGGAGGAGTGAAACCCTAAGGAAACCCGCTGCAAAAAGTGTACCCCGTGAAATTGAACCCTCCCCTTTGTAAACACACACCGCAGCCACGGGCTTTCTGAGCTGAGCGATTTAAACACGATCGACCTTTAAGACCCGCAATATGAAAGCACACCAGCGAGGCCGCTCCGATGTCGTGCAGGCGGAGCCTAAACGACTTGACCATCGCAGGATTCCACTGGCGGAGATATCCGCGTACAGAGTCTATGAGTCTAAATCGCTTCTCTCTACAACAGCTGGGCTGCCACCACGATTTTCAAAAATCCTTAGATAAGCGTTTCCCTCTCTCGACAGTCGCTACCCGATAGCCGTCTGACCTCTTCCTTGGTGACGTACCCTCGCCTCGGGGGGAGGCTCTTCCCTCTCTCTGCCCGCGGCGCTCTTGTGAGATGAAGGTTGGATGATGTGAGAGTCATACTTGTAGCATAAACAGAGACGGGGAGATAAAGATCCGCTGCAGCGGGGAGTCCCCTTTTTTTTTTCCCCACAGTCCCGCTCACGATAAGAGGAGGAGTGTGCAAGGAGTGCACATCGAGACGAACTGGGGCAGAACTACGGGTAATAGGGACGAACTACGAGGAGATTTCTGCACAACCAGCCATTCACCTTCGATGCATCATGGGCAAGCACTACACTTACTGGAACACCTTGATAAGATCGTGACAGGACATGTTCGTCTAGACTATGTACTGTTTTTTTTTTTTTTTTGCAGTCTCTGCGCGCTGCGGCAGCTGGAGGAGTACTACCAGAGTCACACGTGCACAAGTGACTAAATGGCCGAGACACCAAGTCTGCACGGCACCTCTGGAGGAGTGTTCTACCAGAGCCACGCGTGAGTAAATAGTCGAGGAATACGTTTTGATCAAATCCTCTCCGCTTCAGTTTGGCCAGATCGTCTTGACTGTTAGCTCGAAAACACGCCAAGAAGGACATTGCACACCAACTTGCACAAACCTCTCCTGTTGCGGGGTGTAAGAGTTGGTGCACCCAACACGCGGTGACAATTTCACAATCCGGCCACATTTTCAACGCGTGCATGTCCTACCATAAGCAAGCTCCTCACACGACCTCCCACGACCGGCGATCTGCCACACTATTGACAAAATGCGCCGCTTCCATGGAAGTATAAATCAGCTTCCATGTCCATTTCCATGGAAGCTACCACACGTTTCGCGCGAAACGACACTTCCATGGAACAAAAGACATGAAATAAATATGGATGTGCCACTTCCACCGAAGTTCCACGGAAGTCCCATGGAAACCCCATGGAAGTGGAATAGCTTTCATGGAAGTCGAACCTCAGGCTTCCATGGAAGCTATTCAAAACAGGTTTAGGGCAGCTTCCATGGAAGTATTCAGCCTCGGGTTCGCTTCCACGGTCTTATCGGGGTTAGGGTTGGGGTTGTTAGAGTAGGGAAGCTGTGTATCCCCAGCGCTTCCGTGGTGTTGCGTTGGGTTTAGGGTTAGGGTTCGGGTTAGGGTAGGGAAGCTGGCATGACCACATGTTCAGACGCTTTGGCGGAAGTTGCTTTCATGGAATATTCGGTTCTTCCACGGAAGTCGGTTTCGACCTCTGTCACCACTTCCATGGAAGTTGCTTTCATGGGAGTTTTCGTGCTTCCATGGGACTACTGTACGAGAGACTCTCACGCGACGAGCTTCCATGAAAGTAGTACTTCCATGGAATCTAGTCGCGCTTCCGTGCAAGTCCGAAATGCAACTTCTAAGGAAGCAAAGGGCGGTTCCGTGGAAGCGGATTAACTTCCATGGAAGTTGTTTACCGCTCCCGTGGAAGCATCGTGGAAGATGGAAACCGAAAAAGATTCCATGGAAGCAATCTAATTGACTTCCATGGAGTAACAGTGACTTCCATGGAAAGGGTAACCACTTCCACGGAAGCAGTGAAACAGTTCCATCAAAGCAGTGAACCATTTCCATGGAAGAAAATGTCGACGTCCATGGAAGCGTATGTCATTTTTTCAAATTTTGTAGGTTATTTACCCACAACCGGGCATCTCTGAGCACCCCTCCCTGTTTCGTCCGTTGACCTGGGCTGTGGCGTGATGTTGGTCGTGTTGTGTTGTTGAAGGTAGCATGCGCCGCGTGAAGCGCCTTTGGTGTACTGCTGCTGCTCTTCGTGGTTGATACGCAGCCCTGCGTTTGTTTGCTGATTGTTTGCGCACGCCGGCTGAACACGGAACTCGCTGCTCTGCGTCGCGGCGTCGGCCGTGGCTCCTTTTATTAACGCTAACGGGGGCCGCAGATTGTGCCGATACTTCACACGAAGTGCGTGTCGTGTCTGTTGCCTTGCTACTACCGCCGTAACACAAAGAACAAAACATCGAGCTGGCAAGGACAAGTCCTACAGCAGTAGGTCGTCTTGTTGTCAGGCGTACGACTGGATAAAGCCGTGATCGTCACAATTGGCGGGGGCCCGGAGCGTGTCGTGGAACTTGGAGAAGTCCACCTCACAGGCACCGTCCTCGCCCCGCGTGACGCAGCACGCGAACGTTCTGTCCCACAGAATGTCTTCCCAGCAGTATGAGTGCCGAGCCTGCTCGGATTTGCCAGCAACGAGTCGGAACGGCCCACAACGTTTCGACTCAGAAGTACGCCGGCACGTGCACTACTGGGAAGACGAGTGCTAGGTTTATCGAAAACTGCTGTCAGGCTACTTTCCGGACGATGTTTGCCAAAAAGGGTGACGGTACCAACAGTGAACACTCCTTCAGCGGGGCTTGCGACGACCACTCAAACGATCTTGAGAGAAACGCTGCCGATTAGAACGACCATGGTGAACCCATGCCATATTTACCGCGACCGAACGATACTCCTGGGTCATTCAGACCAGCCGTCGAGGCCTGTGCTTGCGACCAGCTCCGAACCACACCAAACCCGTCTCTCAACCCGCAGACCAAAAAAAGACGCCGAAAATGTGCATGTACCTGGACCGTGCTGCCGGTGGAAGTGTCCGTGCCCTCGAGAATCACCACCACCTCAAGCTCTCGGTCTTGTATGTAGGCGTCGATAGCCTTCCGCTCCTCGCGGGCGAACCACTGCCCAGCGTTCAGCCTCGCGCGACCGCCGCCATTACCAGCCGGAGCGTCGCCACTACCGGACAAGACCGGCGGTGAGCCAATGGGAGTCTCCAAGCCTCCCTGCGGGGCTTGTCGCCCTTCCGAGAGTCTTCCTAGGGCTGGCGCCTCCTTCGACCTGTCTGCAGCGAAGTCGTCGGCGCAGTCCTAGGCGGCAGCAGCAGGTGGATAGATGCCAGAAGAAGCCACCACGAGGGGTCGGAGAAGAGCGAATAACTGGGCGTCAGCTTCTTACTATAGTACATGAAGAAGAAAATAAAATCTCCGAAATTCTCCGAGGACATCCCAGTGCTGGCATCTACGAACGGTCGCGCGGGCCAACATGTTGTACACACCCTGCCATGCTTTGTGATCCGTTACACTGCACAACACAGGATGTGAGGGTAAGGGCAGTAAATGACCAATCACAACTTCACCTCCCCGACCCCTCCCCCGCCGACGCGCATAATGGACGCCATCCGCTCCGGGGGGCGCCGGAAGCCCGCGTGGGCCAGCCGGGATCGGGACGACGCAGCCCGAATGTCATCGGCCGTTTTTCCCGTCCTTTCTCTTTCCCTACGCATATCCTCGGACCGACGCCTCTCCATCTCCACCCGCAGGAGGCGGCGCTTCATCTTTTCGTACCTTTCAGTACAAGGGAGATGAAAGAAGCTTCGTTTGAGACGCGAGAAAGTCTGGGACTTGCTGCCCTCAGCACCAGAGTGAGGCTACAGTCTCGCTCTCAACGTCAGGGATGGTGCAACGTTCAAGGCATGCACACGGCCATGCATAAAAGATCTGCCTCTACGTACAGTTATATCTGTATCTCCAAACCTACTCGGAGAGTAGAAATTTACAATCGATATTACAGAAAATAGAAAAAAAATGAAGAAATTCACTAAATCGATGACAAGGAGACCGGCTGTACCATGTGCCGCGATCGCCGTCCACATCATCCCAGCGCTTGAGGAGGTCCGGGAAGCGGTGCACATAGCCAAGATTGTCCGTATCGTCGTCCGTGCCCCTTCCGTTCACGTTGACCCCGAACCTACGGGTGTCGATTAGCAGCAGCGCATCACAGCAGAGCAGAGCACAACACACAGCACAGCGTATTTTAGCACAGCACAGCAACCGGGGAAAAGGCGAGGTTTACGACGAGACACGACACGGGGAACAAACTCTTTCGTGACCGACTTACACTCCAAGTCGGGTGGGACCAGCAATAGAGAGAGGGCCCTTATCCGTGAGTACGCGCGACGGAAAGGAAATGGTAGCACAAATCTCGTAAGAAAACAACGAAGTGCGCACAACGGAATAGGAACACAGTCTGTGTGACGAAATATGTAGTGGGGTGAGAGAAGGCAGACTGCAGATAGTTAGAAACTCTGAGGGCCGGCTAATGATAGAAAGTTCTTACTCTGAAGCGGAAGCGTCTTCCCAGTAAACCGCGGACTGGCGCCTCCCGCCTTGGTTTCCCAGCCGGCTTCCCAATTCTTCTTGTTCAAGGTTCTAAGGAAGCGGGAAAAAACGAGGGCGAGAGGGTTGGACGATTAGCAACCTGAAAAAGAAGGCCGTATCCATCAGGCAATTTCACCCTCGCTTCACACTGCCGAGACGGAGCGAATGCTGCGATTGGGAAGCGTAATCTTGGTGCTACAGCCGTAGTCATCCCGGCTGAATCAACGTTGCTCATTGAAGTGGGACGGGCTGTCTGCCGGTTTAGGAACCACACAAGAAATCAAGCTGCCTTTGAATCTGGTGATTACCCCTGGAAGAGCATGATCACGAACAACGAAACGGTTGGTTGAACCGCCGAAGAGGATCCACTGCATGGCAGGCATTCTCAAGGAGCCGACTAGTCCTCGACGCAGACTTCAAAGCTCGCAGCACACTCCGTACCGCCCCACCCCCCTCCCCCGATCATGGTGCGACAAACGTTGCAGGGAGCCTTGAAAGAAAAGGACGAAAGAGATGGAAGGCACGGAACGAATTCCGTCAACTCGTCTTCCAATATATCCACGTGGCGAAAGCACCACCGCTATCGAAACAACCGCAAGGAAGCACGAGGTCGTCTCCTACCTGATAGTCCGTGCTGAAGGAGGAAGAAGACGCTTGCTTTCTCAACATGCCGGAGGCCGGGTCACCCTCGTCCCCAACATCGTCAGCGGCTGACGCTGCTGCCGCTGCTTCTGCTGCTGCAGCCGCCGTCGCCGCCGCAGCCGCTGCAGTCGAAGCCGCAGTTGCTGCCGCGCAATCTGATCGGGAGCGTTCGGACTTATGTTCCGGGGAGGAAGGGGGCTCTTCCCATGGCGCCTTGACGATGTCTGCGTTAAGTCGCAGAGTGGGCGTTGTCGTTGAAAGCCGTGGCTAACTACTGTTGGTACAAGAGAGGCTAGGTGATATAGCTTTACGTGGAACGACATGGCCAGATCGGGGGCAGACGCCACGGTTGGCGAGGTCAAGAGTCACACTCGAGGTCGCGACTGAGGCCACTTAACGCGAGAAAATGCAACAATACAAGTGCCTTTGCGTTTCAACATTAAAATGCTGATTTTTCCACAACGCAAGAGAGAGCGCCGACGAGCGTTGGAAACACACCTCAAGGGAAGGAACCAGTACCAGTCGCATCAGTCTACGTACCACATCATCAACGTTGCTCAGAAAACAGCGTCATCTCGACCTCCCTCCAAGCAATAAAATTAGCCGTGCACGAAACACTCCTTCGCGATCAACCAATCACCTTTGTCCGTGTGCAGACCCCACTGTACCGGGCCGTGCGAGGAGTTCCAACGGGGTGGAGGCATAATCGGCGACCAGGCATCGATGCGGTGCACAACCGTCTGGAACCGTGGTAGGCGCCCCGACAATCCCAAACACGCGGGGGGGGAAGAGGTCACTTTGTCAACAGTCGGGATTTTTCGTAGCAACAGACCGGTGTCCCGAGACAAGGGCCCATGTAGCGCACTCAGGGACAACAGACAATCCAAACATCTCGGGGGAAACGTAGAAGCGGACCTTCTCTCCCACTCACGGACGGCCATTGGAACTACGGCGGTCGTCCCCGCGTCTCGTGGTTAGTCTCAGAACAAAGTGTCCTTAAGGTTATACCCCCCCTGTTACCCTAGTTTTCTCGGGGCACCAATCTGTTGAAGTTCTTTTTTATCCATAAAGCGAGGAGTATCCCTAAGATTTACCCCCAAGCAGTTTTTTACCGTTCTGCTGTGCACCATGAAAACATGAATTTAAATGGCGGGTAAATGTCATTAATTGTGGCGTCCGGAATCGGGGAGTGTTCTTAAACGCGGGGACGACCGCTGTACTCGCCTGTGGTAGCACGAGCAACAGGTTCCCTCCGAGTTCGTCATCCGGGTGCTGCAGGCGCATGCTGTGGGACTGGAAGAACACCTGGTCGGGCATCCTCGCGGCCAGCTCGGCGGCGGTGGTGGTGGTGGTGCTGCCGCTGCCGCTGCTGCTAACGCCGAGTCCACTCAGGCCGATGCTGCTGCTGACACTGGTGCTCCTGGCGCCGAACCCGCTTGCTTCGGTACTGCCGGTGTTGTTGTAGCTGTTGCCACAAGGGTTGTACGTCAGCCGCTCGTGGCGGAGGGCGTAGCAGCGCACACGGGTTTCCAGCAGCTGGTGCTTGCGGAGCTCCCCAACCTGGAACCTAGATATAAGTGAGGCGTTTTGGGAAGGGAGGCGGTGGAGAAGGGGGAGGGAGGGCATTGCTTGTGTTTGCCCATAGTGGCCGTTTAGCCACAAGCCACGATGCGGAGAGATGTAAGAAACGCGACAATGTTTTGCGACCAACCCATGTCATGGACGGTGGAACAATTCCCACCTTGCTCTCTGTTGTTTACAAGAGAAGCGTAGCCTTGGTTTCATCAACAGATAGGACAAATGCCGCAGACAAACCGAAGCCCACCGTCAAAGGAATGCCTGCCTATACTCCCACATAGGACCCCGTGTCTCTTGGTTTTCATTCTCAGCCCACACCCTATTCATGCTGCTGTTACGGCTTACATGAAGTAGGCCTCCCCGCGCACTCGTCTGATGACCGCGTTCTTCGTAAAGACGACGGTGTTCGCGCGCGTCTGCGGCCGGCTGAGCCTCGCGAACAGGATCCCGATCAGGAAGGCGTCGATGAGCAGGCCAATGCACGCCTGCAGGCTCAGCATCGGCAGCATGATCCAGCAGGAGCCGAAGAGGTAGTCGTGGGTCCCGTACCCTACCGTGGTCATCGTCTCCAAGGAAAACAAGAAGCCCTCTCGGATGCTCGTCAGTTGCAGGTTGCACCCCAGGGTAAGGGATATCGTCGTGTACACGATGGCGAAGAGGAGGACCAGGCTCAGGTACTGGACGACGGGGGACAAAGAGGAGTGGGGGGTGCCGGGTTGTTCGCAAGAGGAAGGGTGGTTTGGAGAATGAGTACAGTCCACGTCGAAAACATGCTGGAGCCTTACTCGTCTCAGGGCATTCCAAGCAAAGGCCAACGATATGCTACCCACCAAAAATACTGTTGATTGCCTTGTCCAATCACTAGTTCGCACTCGTAGCACTCGAGGGTGGCATGGTGCTCCCCTCACGCATGAAGCCTGCTGATGTATGTATCCTCACCAGCGCAATGATGAGAAGGATGATCTTAAGGGTAGACTGGTTGAGGAAGCTATGGAAGGGATCGAGGCCAATGAGTTTCTGCACGTCCGCCTGGGTCTTGAGCCGTCGAATATTCCACCTTCCTGCGCTCGCGAAGCGTGCCGTGCAGCGTATTTTACGGAGTAGATTGACGTGAGACAACCCGAGCATCAGAGAAGTCTACATATACGCTTGTAGAAAGAGAGCCATAATCGTAGAATTGTGGTTGGATGGTTTTGTGTGCAACGCCTTCACCGAGAATACCTTTTTTCCCCGACAAACACAAGGCTTGAACGTGCGTCGGGGGTGGAGCTGCCCACATCCGAGGAAGACAGTTTATCGGCCATTCCCCCTCCTCCACGGATATCCATGCATGCAGCACGCCATACACAACAAAACTCAACAAATCCGGCAAAGTCAGCGGCCCACGACCACGCATCAAAGTACCAAGATTAAGATTATACACAACGATGGACACAAAGCCTGTAAGCCAAGTGCATCTTCATTGTTCGTGCTCCTGGACGCCGTGCTACATAGCTGACGAAAAGGAAAACCACAGCTCCCGATGCACCGTAAGCAACGCCTAACGCACCAAAACAGCGCATTTCACGAATCTAAAGCTGTCCCGTGTCTATCCCGCTGTATTGTAGGCGAATCAATCTCCACGTGGGCTGACCACATAAGCCGAGTTTGGCCTTTCGTAAATGAGGAACACTCCCCCCCCAAAAAAAAACACCTTGGTCGAGAAGGGGCGAGACGAAAAAATGACCGGCGCATGAATTGTGGGTACCGGCCACCGACCTCATTTGCCACTGCTCACCATATCGCCTCGACGCCACAGGAGTGACTTGGGGGGTCGACTTTCTACGCTCGCGCCGGTACTCCTACGCTGCGATATGTTATTGTGCACGCAAAAAGGCAGCGTCGTGTAGTGAAGAAGACCATGTGCACAACAGTGCATCGCGCCCAGCTTGTAACTGACAGCAGTGTACACGCTTCAATAAACCACACGTCATGCAAACCCTGGAACTAGCGTTGTCCCCAGGAGGGGAGGAGGAGGTGGGGGGTTGGTTATTCTATAAACGCTTGCAGACCACTTTGGCACTCTTGCTTGCTGCAACCCCCGTGCGCCGCACACACGAAGAGGCAGTCCACGCGGTAGTACACTAGGGTCGCTAGGGTCTGCCTAAAGTCTAGGGTCTGCCTCCAGCACCGACGAAAAGGGTTACAGACTCACCAATGGACTGGTGAAAGGGGCCCTCGCGGTCGACCAGGCGATAGGCTTGTTCGCCCTTCTTGCGCGCCTTGAGCCATTTCACGGAGCGGCTGGTGCAAAGACGACAGCGGGAGGGCGGGGCGATTACAAGAAGAATCAATATAGAGTGTGAACCGAGACGGGGGGGTCACATGGAGGAAGGAATAGGAATAGAAAGGGAAACAAGACGAAGCAAGCAACAAGGGCAAGGCGACAAGAGGAACAGCTGTGTCATCCACAGCCAATCTCGCGCGATCACTCCCAATGTCTATGGGAAAAAGCCGATTAATTCAATAATGAACTTCGAAACAAAAACCATGGTTGTGAGGATGTTTCGGACTCCCGGAATGCGTTGCGAGCTGGGCAACAGATGGAAATCTAGGCATGTTCTTCTTGACCTGGTTCTTCTTGATCTAGACCAACGTGTACGTTCAAATGAAACCCTGGTCGGTCGCCCGTTGTTGCAGCAACAACAGAGCACACTGCCGTTTTGAACGATAGGTAATTCAGCTCGGGAAAACTCCCAAAACGCGCTACAGGAACCTAGAAACAGAACAGCAGAAGGATTACAGTTACCCTAACCCTAATCTAACCCTAAGGTCGCAGAAGCCCTATTGTCAAGCGCACTATGCATACAACATCCCGTTACAAAATTGACGAAGACGCACATGTTGTTGTTGTTGTTGTTTTTCTTCACATTAAACTCGTGTCAGTTGCTAATCCCAAAATCTAGCAAAGACTCGGCCCGTGGTCACAAAAATGCTAAAGCCATCAGAAGATCTAAAGAACACGCACACTATTAGCAAGAAAAGGGTACACAAGCCCGAGGAGGTACACCTACAATCCCTGCAGCACGTTTGCGTGCTCACAACTGAACTACACGCCCACACACTACAATTCATGTGCAAGGCGCGTGAACATCACCGCACGTGACTGACACCCTCAAAGTTGAAAATAGCCATGGTCTCGAGGATGCGACATATGTATGGGGACAACCCATCTCACCCCCAAGCCTTCCCAAGGATGAGGCGGGGCTTCAGGTGGCGCCGAGTGCTGCCGGGTATAATAACGGTGTCCCCTCCTCCGCTGCTGATGCTGCCATGTATCCCGATCTCCTCATCCTGCGGAGCGTTGGCGATGCTTCTGTAGGTCACTGAGACTAATGTTTCGGAAGGGACGGGTGGGAGGGAGCAACGGAAACTGAGTTGTTGCTTGAAGAGAGAAAAACTGTAACGTTGACACAGGCAGCATGGAACGGAGCATTGTCTCTTCTCGGAACTTGACGGAGACGCCAACAATAGACTGTTGTTCGCGTTTGTTGACCTGCGTGTAACGCTCGTTCATAACGCCTCGCAGCACTGCCGTCGATCAACCACCAGCACCGAAAGACAAACACTGCCGCGCTGGAGGTCGCACCCGGGTGCTTGGGTCCGTCTGTTGTGTGTGGTGTACACATCTGCCTCATCGAGATACAGACCAGGGGCGACGTCTGCGAAAGTCCCCCACAAACAGCAGTCGCTTCAAACCCGTCAAATCTGAGACTATCCGAGGCTGGTCCCAGGAACGCTGAGAGTTATTTTCTAGACTAAATCTAGGGAAATAGACACAAGTGGGTATACCCACCCCTTTCTCGGACTCAAGTGGGTACTCGAAAATCCAGCGCGCGCGCACTCCATAGGCGACCCCCAAAACGACTCAAAACCCCATTCTGACACCTAGGCGACACAGCCAGGGACCATACACAGCACGGGCATCGTTTCCCCCCCACTTTTAGGCACACCTTTGGCCCTAATACCGCCGACGCGCGCAAGGCCTCACCAGAGTGCCCACTTATGTCCGACATCGCGGTGGGTATACCCACCGGCGTCAACGAATTTTTCATGTACCCACTTGTGTCTGTATTTTGACCCACTTTTGTCCAAATTGTACCCACTTTTGTCCACTTACGGACGGCGGAAATCGAGCGGAAATCGACCTCCACGTCACCGCACGGCAGAACATCGAATAGCCTCGGAACGTCTCAGAACCTCCCAACACCGTATCCATGGCATATTTCCTATCCATGGCTGCCGACTGCGGACCGACCACGGAGGAACATGTCACAAACATGCCAGACCCCTTCGGTACCGGCACGGGAAGATACCAGGCACGGGAAGATACCCGCGGGAAGCCTACTGTTGTTGCCGTGACGAGTCGGTGTGCACTCGCCGTGGTGGTTGGTGTTTTTGTGTGTGTGTTGTTGCTGTTTGCGCGTCTTTTTGTTCTGTATGCGCGACCCGTTGGTTGTGTTGTCCGTTGTGTGTCACGCATTTATTTGTGGCGTGCCGTTAGTGCGCTGCTTGCCGGGCTTGCCGCGGGTATCTTCCCGTGCCTGGTATCTTCCCGTGCCGGTACCGAAGGGGTCTGGCATGTTTGTGACATGTTCCTCCGTGGTCGGTCCGCAGTCGGCAGCCATGGATAGGAAATATGCCATGGATACGGTGTTGGGAGGTTCTGAGACGTTCCGAGGCTATTCGATGTTCTGCCGTGCGGTGACGTGGAGGTCGATTTCCGCTCGATTTCCGCCGTCCGTAAGTGGACAAAAGTGGGTACAATTTGGACAAAAGTGGGTCAAAATACAGACACAAGTGGGTACATGAAAAAATTCGTTGACGCCGGTGGGTATACCCACCGCGATGTCGGACATAAGTGGGCACTCTGGTAAGGCCTTGCGCGCGTCGGCGGTATTAGGGCCAAAGGTGTGCCTAAAAGTGGGGGGAAAACGATGCCCGTGCTGTGTATGGTCCCTGGCTCTGTCGCCCAGGTGTCAGAATGGGGTTTTGAGTCGTTTGGGGGTCGCCTATGGAGTGCGCGCGCGCTGGATTTTCGAGTACCCACTTGAGTCCGAGAAAGGGGTGGGTATACCCACTTGTGTCTATTTCCCCTAAATCTATGTATGTAATCTGAAAAAGTCAAGCTCCAGCCCAAAACCGTGCAATGTCTTGAATTCATAAGTTGTGGAAATGTTCGTCTTGTCTCGAGACAATTGTTCGTGTGGAAGTAGATTTGTGCGCTATGCTGGTGGAGACAAGCCCGACCCGCTGCTCGGTGCGGCACCTAGCGGAGTTCTCGCACCACAGTTCCTAACGGGTGTGCGTACATAGCTCGTGCGTGATTGTAACGGTGGTGCTCTCTCGGTCACATTCTAAATCAGTCAACCATTGACTTTTACACAACTGTAGTCGCCCGTGTCAGGTTCAAAGGTGATGGCGGGTCCTGTATCCTACTGGACGGTGGGAATCGTCTCTCCAGCCCCCTTCAACAGCGAGGAATGACAACGTGACCCCTGTTGCAATACTGCAAGTATGTACATTACAGCAGCACGTTCCCTGAGCCACGCAGTGCCCATGTGGGCGGAGAGACCAACAGGCGACCAGCTGCTGTTCGAATCGCAGGAAATAAACTTCTGACTCTTTCAGAGGAGCGATGCGAGTGGTTTCTCTCGAGAAGGAGCGCATACCAATGCCACCACACTGCTGTATAAGGATTTCGCACATACTCCTTATCGTCTCACCCAAGCTTGCCGCTGAACCTCATCCAACTTACAGACAGCAGTCAACCATGGGAGCAGAGGCTGTTCGAGCATCCCTGACGAAGCGTAATTCAAACAAGCGACACGTGTACGGGGCTACTGCTGCTGTAAGCACACCTGTCGGGGTGATAAGAGGGTCGCCCACCGCGGCCATGCTCTCTCGTTCTCTCTTTCGCCCACGCCAGCAGCGTCGGGTCGTCGGATCAGCTTTAGCACAGATGGCAAGGAAAGCATACAAAGGCACGCAAAGTGGCTCTTCCGAACCAACGACTCCGTGACGACAGGAAAAACGAACAGAATTATCTGTAGGTTCGAAATCCGAACCGGTTCCTCGGGGAATTGTCTTGCGATCTTGCGTCTTGCGTCTTGCGTCCCCTCTCACATATCGCATCTGTGTACACACTTGCGTTTGATCGATTGTGTCGTGTGTCGTGTACAGCTGGTGGTGTATATCGCATAAGCGAGTGCGTCAGCTTGTCACCGGGCATGCCTGTAGGGGACCAGCAGAGCAGGATGGCCCTCGCAATACGTGAAAGTAGACAAACCTTTCATGGTCAGGAGATCTTAGTGTAGAAGCCCTTAGCCAACCTGAGCTGACGGAACTGCTGTGCGTGCAAATGTCGTCCACGAAGCCGGGGGTGCGTGTTAAATTGGTAGAGTAGATTTCACCGTTCCGATGCACGGGTAGGTATTCGAGGGGGTGAAGTCTTGCGCAGCTGCGAACACCACTCAAAGGTCATTGATACGGCGGTGGTGGTGCCTCTATTTACTGAAGTAACTGAAGTACCCTTTTACTGTGGTTGTGGAACACCACTCACCTGAACACAGTTGCAAATAGCTGTCACAGCCAGTAGATATTGGCCTCAAACTCAGCTGGACACCATCGTCGGGAGTGCAGTTCAGAAATAAGCTAGACACTCTTCTGCTGTGTACCCTTGTTTCGAGCACGCTGTTACAGTTAATAAAATCATAGTCTAGATTAAATGCTTCCCTGCCACACCTGGCACATGTATGCTGCAACCCCCAAAACACCTCAGTTATTTCGACTGGGAAGCCCCACAATCGAAGGGCCTCTGCGTCCAACAAAAGTGCTAAAGAATCGAAGTACTGGGTGTCCAATTGGTCAAAACAGGACATGCCCGAATAGGTGCAGTTCTCGCCCCTCAAACACAGGCCAGCCAGTGAATATAGGGAGCCAGGCGCTGGGGAGATTGTTGGTGTTGACACTCTGGACGAAGAAATCAATAAGTTAAACGATATAAATTCGTGAGTCACAAGCTGAAAACAGAAAAGGTGGCGGCCTGGATTGACAAATGCATGACATAAAGACGATGGTAGCCGTCAAAAATGTGCCTCAATGATGGGCAGGTCTTCGCAAGGCAACCGAGCAGGTGCCGGCCTACACACATGTCGCCAAGATACTCACTCCTCGAACGGATGCTGCGGTAGTACTGACGCCCTTGCTGAGCGGTGGACGACGCAACGGAGCACATCGTTCCTCGATCGGATATGACACGACTGGTGAACGAACTTTGCACAGGGGACTTCCCCCACGTGGTTTGGCTGAGGCACGCCGGCGCGTTTGTGCGTTGCGTGTGGAAGGCGATGGACAAGTCGCACGGTGCACGCACGTGCTTGTATGGCCGCGGGCACGTGAGTGTCGTGAACGCCAGGGCACCGGGGATCCATCCCATCTCGTCGTCGCTTGGTCGTGGCCGGCATCTCCCAGCACGACGAGGCAAGACAGCAGCAACACCGGCTGTGTTCGCCGTGACTGTGTACCGTTGGGTGCGGTCGTGGTCGTTGTAGTTGGCGGGCCCTCAGCGTGTCGTGGAAGCTGGAAATATCCATCTCGCAACTACCATCCTTTCCTGTTGACACGCAGGTCGCAAGACATCCGATCCTACAGGAGTTCCTCACAGCAGGCAGAGGCCCAAGCCTACTCAGATAGATCAGCAAGATGTGGATGTGGCGGGGAAAAGAGCCACGTATCATGGAATTCAGGCAAACGGATGCTTGTTGCCTTGTGGATCGACCTTTTCGTGTCTCCTCCGGCGTGATACTTCCGTGTATGATAGTGGAACGCAATGACACTGTGGAACCGGCACGCGTTCGTTCACTAAGTGCCTGTTTGGGGCGTCGGCGCGTGTACTGCGTTATCACGCTTGCGGGCTCTTGTCGAGAGCGTTTTGCACAAAAGATTGACTCAAGTTCCTTGTAATAACGAGAGAGAGAGACATGGGCAGCCAAGCAGAGCCTATGGCGTCAAGTCCATCACACCCATCATGTATATCTGCGTACCACCCCCGGAGATCTCGCGGGTTCATTTCTGCCGGGTGCACACACAACCCCCCAACTCGGTAAGAGATACGCACACGCAAGAAGTAGCAGTGACCGGACGGGGGTTCGAAAGAACCGCCAACAAGCAAACTGAAATCACATGTAAACATATAGGTGAGCTAGCTAATACGTGAACACACAAGGCAGCGGCAGGGGGGCTCCCGCAGCGGCTCACCTTGCCAATGGAATACGTTTTGTACCTGAACCTGAACAGCAGTGCTGCCGGTTGTAGAACCCATGCCCTCCGGAACGACCACCACCTTCAGCTTACGTCCTGTCAGCACACGTTTATCGCTTTCCACTACTCCCTGTCCAACCACTGCCCTGCGCTCCGCGCCGCCCCACTGGCACCACTGCCTTCACCCCTGCCTCCGACAGAGCCGTGGCCACCGCCTGACACTCCGCTGGTCACCCCTGCGGCCGTTTCCGGGGCGCTTGAGCTCGTCGAAGATTTGTCAAGACCACGGGTGTCCTACACGCTGTCTGAAGCAAGGCTCCCTTTGGCGGTACCCATTAGATTCTTGGGACCCCACGTAAGCTCGCATAAACGTGTATTCTCACGCCGGCTACAGAGCATTCCTTCGCGCGCTTGCCATCTCCATATCAATCACACCCACCCGTCTACCTCCCATGAGATGTTCTAAAAACCTTTCTTTGCAGGTCCCCTCTCCGCAGCTGCGGTGGTATCGTCTTGTTGACACGCTCACGTTGGACCACACGTACGAACGTTCGATCGTTTCTACGCATAAGTAGAAACTTTCCACGCGTGGGGCTGTGTAGTTGGCTCGAAATGGTTTTGTCATTTTGCAAGGGGCTTCTTCCTGACGATGCGGGAGGCCAACCCAACCTCTGCTTGATCCAGACGAAAACCAATATTCCAGGCCTCGCTTCAACTCACATGTGCAGCCCCACCCCCCGGCCGACGCGCCGATGTAGACGATGGAGGGCACGCGATAGAATCCTGGTCGGACTAATGTGGGCGGGAGCGGGGAAGATATGACATGACCGCCGTCCGCGGTCTTGCCGACCTGTTCCTCTTCCTTTCCAAGTTCTCTCCGTGTAGTCCCTCCGTCTGTCTACCCGCAGCAAATGGCGGTGCTTCTCCTTGTATGTACCCCCTTCCGGCGGATCTGTGCCGTTGATGTGGTTTCGACACCTGCGGTTTTTCAATTGGGTGTTAACGCAATCAGCTTGATGATACCTTCAGCTTGTCGGTCGGAATTTTTCGTCGGTCGCTGCGCCCAGTTCATCACCAGAGTGCTGTCCCTTTTGTTTTTCGCGAGGTTCTACAGCTGCATGCAGTGCAACTGCACAAGACGGAGAACCAGCCGGGTGCAAAACATCCAACGGCAAAAATATAGACGATAGAACGCACCACCGCTTGAGACGTGGTAGTTACGAACTTGAGGGTCTGTACATTTTTGGAATTATCAGCTTGGAACCCAACCCCGCACGGGGACCACACGGCACAGGTCACAATAGTTCGGATGTACCAATGTGTATAACCTGGGTTTATCCTCTACAGAAGAAGGCGCCGAGAGGTAACCAAAACAAGATGTTCTTTTTTTTGGCGCGTTCTGTACCACACGCAGGGCCTGCACATAATTGCTAGGAACTGGGAGCAGACCCTATAGTGCTGTTTTCGGTGAGCGTCCTCAATCTGGATATTCACTTCCCCACGCAACGGGACAGTTTCCTCTGTCTGTACATGAAGATCTTGCCTAGCGCACGGAAGAGGGCTACTCCGGCGTATTCTGTACCAGGGATACAGCAATGCACGCACTGACTGCACACAACCATTTTCTCTCCGTCGTATGTTGTGTCTCCGCCCAACCTTCCGATCACGGGAGAAGAGAGAGAGCGAAAGAGGAAGGGGAGGGGAGGAGGAGGGTCCGTTATTTGAAGGGCAAAGCGATTTTCAGAACAATTTATCATGCGATCGACTGCTGCCGTGTTGTTTTTGGTGTGGGCCGTCTTTACTGCTGTGCACATAAAGATACACACCAAACCTTAACAAAAAGGGAGACGAAATCATCACATGTCTATCAGATGGAGGAAAGAGGCATCTGCTGCACTTCTGCTGTACTGTTGATGTAGATACCATATTTGCAAATTGCTCGCGCCTCCGACCCTCCAGGAGGTCGATGTGTTCGAAATTACTACTGGTATTTATTGCAAATTGCGGAGCCCCGTCGCGGCAAAGGCAGTGGTGGTTTCCGGGGGCGCCTGCTTGCGCACTCCACACAATCCTCCTTCTCTCCCATCTCCTTTCCTCGCCATCGACTGTCTCAAAGAACTTGTTATGCCCCGATCCAGAGATGGAAAGCACACCTTTTGCGTGTACGGATCGAGCTCAGGTGAGCAGCCGTATGCCCCAAGTGGCAGTGCGTTGTAGGCATTTCTGTCTCTCAGTTGCTCCTTTGTTATACCGTATATGACACAAGATAACACACCCCCTGGACCGATTTTCATAGCTCGATTACTCCACGACGAAGAGGATGCATAAACGAAACAA